GTTTCCAAAAGAAATTCTCAGATCCTAAGGGGAACGAGAAATGTTTTTTTAAAATACATTTTTAGGGTTTTATAGTGTTGTGAATATTTTTGTGCATCTGAACTTTTTATTTTTGATTTTTAGATTATTTAAATTTCCGTACAATTCATATGCATACTTAATATAACGTATTGATCCATAATGGTGATTTAAAGAGAAAAAAGGTTACAGTAGTTCAAAAGGTGCAATTGCTTATACTGTATTCTATATTAAATTTATTTGATAAACTATACTAATATATTTTATTAAAATTAATATTATTAATCAATCTTTAACGCTCATAAATGTCATGTTAATCGTTTTTACTATAAAACTATAAAGCTTTTATACTATAAATATACAAGAAACAACTTTTCACCTCGATTGTATGCATTTTTATGCATTTTTTCAAATTATTATTTATAAAACATGAAAATGTTTTTTTTTTTTTACGTTAAGAATTACACACATACCTATTTAGAATACAACGAAAAATTATGTTAATGTTTCTTATAAAGTAATCATTTGAATTAATGTTTATCTGTAAGTAGCTATCTAACCTCATATACAAAATACAGTATTTATTTTATACAATATTGAATCAAAGGGAAAAATAGGGTAGTAATAAATATAGTCGTAAAATATAAAAATTCTTCAAATAGGACATATCTTAATTATCATTTTATGCATAATTTTAATTATTTAACGAATATTCTACTCACATATTCATTCAGATTAATTTTATTATATGACTTTATCATATATATTATATATACATATATAATATAGTATTTATAAAGATATAAAATATTATGTTCATGAGGTAAACGCTTTTTACTAACGAATATAACTAAAAAAAAAAAAAAAAAAAAAAATAGTTTTTGAATTAATTACTTTACCGATTACTTATTATTTTTATGAAAGAAACACTAATAATAAAACTAGAACTTTGATTGTTTGTCCATCTTATAAAGTTTCAAAAAAATAACATCACACTATTTATTGTCTTATTTGCTAAACTTTATTTCACTAAAAGTAATAATTTTAAAAATATTTTTTTCGGCGACTAATTGGTTTATTTTCACTGTTTGTGTTTCTGTTAGGTTAGGTTAGGTTAAGTGAGTTTTCTTCGTTTTCTTTTAATTTTTTTAAGGACAATTTTACGATTTCTACAACAGTAGGCGAATTATAAACAGTTATTCCATCCAAAACCAACAACAGATAGATAGTTCGTATTCAAATCCAGTTTTGACACATTGTTATTGTGTGTTAATACTGCGTAAAACACTGATTAATTGTTGAAAACTATCTCAGGCGAACAGAAATAATAATAAACATGACGTCCGTTATACACAGAAAATTATATTTTCACATAAATATCAATAACGGTAATCACCGTTTTAAAATATGCTTCTTTAAAAATGGGATTTATTATTATTAAACGTACACGTTGGAAAAATGAGCAAATTATCGACAAAGTAACTTATCGCGAGATCATCAACATTATAATTTTTTAAGCCACCGTTGGATATTCTTGAATAACTACTCATGCAAATTAGTTATAAATAATAATAGTTGAAGGATTCGTTTTTCTTTTATCTATTTGTTTAGCACATCGGTTTCCAATCTGGGGATAATTACCCCTTCTCCTAAGGATAAAATAAGATTTTTCGACGGGTAAAGGCTGGACTAACTTTTTATTTATGTGTATATATATATACACATATATCTATCATTGTGGCCTATAAATTGGCCTAATTGTATTGCGTTAACCGTTAACTCGTTAATGCGAGTTTTACGCGGCCACGTGCTTTTTTAGAGGGTATGGGTATTTACTAATATCTTACCCGGTTTACGGATAATAGTCTCAGAAAGGCTGGGAACCACTGGTCTAGCATTTAAACGTGCATGGTATTGTTATATATTAATATCATGTTCATTGAAAAATTTTTTACTGTATTTGTGTGCGTAATCATTACTGTCCATTAATCCACGAAACCGAAACGTTAACCGTAACACAATATGAAAATTTACTTAAATTATTAAATTATGTAAGTACTATTGAAGCATATAAACAACAATAAATATTGTGTTTTCCTCGAACATGTCCCCTAATATTATTATTGAGTGTACACAGTTCGTTTCGAATTTTTCGAATTTACACGTTTCACATGAAACGTCTGACGGCAGAGCGAACATTTTTAATACATCATAAAAACGAATTTATACAACTGTCGTTGGCCCAAAAGGTACTTAAGACTGGATATTGATAGTATATGTAAGGAGACAGGTAGACAATTTAGTTAAACACAATTAAAATAACGATTATTGATGTATTAAACGACAAATCCACTGCAAATATATATGTATTGAGGTGCTCATATAAAGGTAAGCTGTACAAGAAATTAAGATGGACACCACTAATATCAAGTATACTACAGTCAGGTGCCTCCTGGATCTTAGAATCCTATTTCAGGATCTATGGTCGGAAGTGGCATGTTATGGTATGATTAGGTGAGTCGTGTCTAAGATTTGCCCGATACCGTATGGCGTGATGCTGATTGTTCTTTGGTCAGTTTTACGATGATGCAAAGTGGCGCAATTATTACATAACACGTAAAGGGTGTTTTATAAAAGGAACTCGGATACGTTTAAGTAATATTAGTGTTATATTTATTTTTTTTCTTCCTAGAAAACGTGATAGTCTACACTATCGTTTGATTGTAAATATTTAAAAAAATATATCTGAAGAAAAAGAAAGATCAAGTACACATTGAAAATATAATTGTCAAGTATTTATAATTTACAGTAGTAAGCAAACTTTGTTTTAACATTAATTATTCATTCTTATTCCTAATTCTACGTATTGCGTAAGCAATAACTACAATAAATGTTTGAAAAATATTCGAGACACGTACATGAAACAAAAAAAAAAACTTGTAACACTTCAAATAAAAAAAAAAAATTAAAATAAAATGAATTTATCGTTTTTAGACACTTTTACCGTTGAATACAAAATAAGATACACTCTTATTTATAATTATACAATTGCAGTCCAACCGACTCTGCTCAATACATTTTTACGTATTTTAAATTATACCCCGGTCATAGCGACTCCATAGTACAATATTTGTCCTAACTAGATCCCATCTACGAGTAGGTCATTTTTTTATTTTTTCGTATATTCATGCGTGTTAAATTAAATTATATTTAATTATTTGGAATTTGTTCAAATTTGTTTGATATATCTGTTTTTTAAATAGAGTTGACATATATTATTATGGTTAATTCTATATCTGGAATTACGAGTATCATCGCATTATTTATATGTATTTGACACCGAATGACATCGATATGTAACTATTCATTTCCTTTGATTGCTAGTATCGATACTTCCTTCATTTAGATGTTTTTTTTACGTTTCCCATTAAGATGTATCTTTATATTTTATTACTTCTAATCCTACGCAAAAAGTGACACGATTTTCCTTTTTACCGAATTTACGGCTATATCGCATGCATTCATTAATTTATGTAAATCAGTTTTCCGAACAATTGGGTATTAATTTAAATGTTCCCTCTAATCTCAGAGTAAATTAATTTGAAAGTTGAATCATTTTTTTTTCTGTTTTGATTTGCAGGTAAACTGCGAGTGTTCAGTTTAATTTCTATTTTATTTGATATTTGGAACTAAGAATTTTTAATACACTTTATTTGTGTTTCAAGATTTTTTATCGTATTTTCCGTTTTGAGACTAATTTATTTTTATTTAAATCTTCAATAGGGTTCCCGTTATTTGTTAAAATAGCTACTCGTAAGACTTACGGAGAAAAATCAGTTTCCCAATCAGTATTAATAAGAATATTTTTATTTTTTATTTTCCAATATATTATTATTTTTACTTTTGCAATTTATTTTTATATTAATTATATTTTATTTAAATGTTGGCACACAATAATATAATATATAATAATAATTCAATAAATTTTTTAATAATATAAATCTTAGTATTAATCACAATAATATTTCTCATAAATTACACGAACAGTATTCATATATGAGTATTATTTATATATATACATATATATAAATTTAATAAATAAATATTTTTCAATAATAATTTTCTCTACATATTTTTCATAGGTTTTTTTTAATAATAATAATTCTTTAGCTCTATTTTTACCTTTTATACGTTTATTAAATAAATAATATTTATGTTGAAATAATGCTCGGTGGTGACATGTTTGATGATTGACTTGATATTAGATTTGAACTCGTCTTCTTGGGATTGGAAAAAAAGTGATCAGGGTTACCTCACGGTGATTCGATTTGAATTGCCTCCTCAAAGTCTCTCATACAGCGCCAAATTGGTTACGTGTCGAGTGATTAATACCCGATGGTGACAGTGTTTTAGGGTTCATTAATATTTTCGCTAGAATAAAAAATACTGGTGACAGTATTATGATTGTTTTATTTACAGTTAAAGTAAATCAACATGAATTATAATGTAGTAGAACTTTACTGGCAATAAAAAGTAAATATTCTTCACTTAATGGCTGGATACATATGAATTTGTAATGATCTGTAACTCTTATATATGCTGCTGAATCGCTTTTTTTTTTTTTTTTTTTTTAATTAGGTTAAAGACCACGGCGACGATGGTTATTGGCCTGACATATCGTTTTACATAGGTTAAATTATTTTATACATGTTAGTACTTAAATTAAGTAATTTTAAATTATATTATATAGATTAATTTTTTTAAGAAGTTAAGTATATTAAAAATTGCTGTGGAATCCGGACTGAGAATGTCGAAAAGATGTGTAGAGCCGAGGGTTTCTTCTCGAAGTTTTTGTTGGTTTCTGCATTCTGTTAAGATGTGTTTTATTGTTAGTTGAACTCCGCAGGTAGGGCATGTGGGTGGGAAATCTCTTGTCATCAAATGGCGATGTGTTAGAGAAGTGTAGCCTATTCAGAGGCGGTTTATGATAGTTTCTTTTTTTTTGGAGAGTACTGGAGGTAGGGGCCACGGGAGTATTGACTTTTTGATTTCATTAAGTTTGGTCGTCTGTTGTGACCAGAGTTGATTCCAAGATAGAGTTGTCTGGTTTTTATGTATTTTTTTATTTTTTTTGCGTCGGAGTAGAAAAATCCTGAAATAGAGATGGCTTTAGTTGAATTATGGGTGGACTTAGCTGTAGCGTCGGCTTTTTCATTGCCGGCTATATTGCTATGACCGGAAATCCACATAAAGGCGATGTGTTTGCCAGTGGATCGTGCAATGTTGCAGGAGTTCTGGATACTTCTTGCTATGTTGGAAGGATTAACTGTGTTTTGGATACTTGTTATTGCACTTAATGAATAGCTAAGTATAAAACAACGTTTGTTGTCAACGAATTGAATGAAGTATTTAGTGGCTTCTAGTATAGCTAAGGCTTCGGCTGTGTAAATTGAGCATTTGTCTGACAATTTGATTTGGATTTCGGTATCGCCACATATGATTGCTGCTCCTGCTTTTTTGTCTGTTATAGACGCGTCAGTGTATATCTGTATGTGAGGTTGAGCATGGGCTATGGTTTCGTTGAAATAATCTTTATATAATTTAGGATTTGTCTTTTTGGGAATTTAGTGAAGTTTGAGACTGATATCTAAATTGATGTACCAAGGAGGCTGATTGCTAATAGCTGAGGGAATGATATAATTAAGGTCGAATATGTCTTGTACCTTTAGGAACATGTCTTTTGGATCTGTAGAGATTCCTTAGGGTGTTCTGTAGATTCTGGCAACCAGCAGGGCTTTTTGTTCTTCCCATCTTATTGATAAAGGGGGTATTCCTACTATATTGCATATGCTGTGGATGTAGCTGTGGGCTAGATCGAAAGGCTCCTATTGAAAGCCGCATGCCTGTGTTGTATGGAGTATTGAGTTTTTTGAGGTATGATTGGTTGGCTGAAGAAAATAAGGATGACCCGTAGTCTAGTTTGGACAGGATGAGGGCTTTATGTGCTTTGATTAGAACAGAGTAGTGGGCTCCTCATGAAGTGCGAGATAGAGTTTTTATTATATTGAGTCGTTGGAGGTTTAAGGTGTAAAATGTGAGGTATTCACGTACACTTTGAGTCAAAAATTATATCGAGAATTTTAATGTTATTTTTGTTTTTGATTGTTTGATTACCTATACTTATTGACATTTTGTTTTTATGTTTATTGTTGAATATGATACGTTTGGATTTTTCGACTGAGAATCTGATCCCATATGTTTTTGACCATTTATCTAATTCATTGGTAGCGTTTTGAAGAATTTGTTTTATAGTTGTGATACTGTTGCTGCGGCATAGGATAGAAATATCATCGACATAGAGAAAAGGGATGATGGGCTTTGATATTTGGTTGGATATGTTATTTATAGCTAATAGAAAAAGTGTTACCGATATTGAAGAACCTCGAGGAACTTCATTTTCTTGAATATAGATATCTGAAAGGCAGTTGAATGATTTGACTTGGAAAGTGCGTATGAGTAAATGGTTTTGGATGAAGTTAAATCGTCCTTTCTTTTCGGGTTTTGCTCACCGTTAAATTGGTTGTTTTCATTAACTAGTTGTCCTTGTATATACTGAACGGCACTCCCAATTATTGATAGCTTTGTTTTCTAATTTTTGCGTGTATAGTTTAGCGATTAATTTTTGCCTTTCTTTTATTTGATTTTATTAGATTTTTTACCCATTTATTTTTGGAACAGTTTTACAGGTAATTTTTATTTTTATATTTGTACATACATAAAATGTAATACCTATAGTAAAATAATAACAGTTTTATCAAAAGAGATATATAAGTACCTATATATTTCAATTAATGAGGTAGAACTAAGAACTTCTTTGATATTCCATGGTTGTTTACTATTAAGAATTATTTGATGTTGATGGGGTGGGGTGGTAAGGAAGGTTGCAGCCCACTCTATATACGCCACTGCAATAATAGCATGAATATTTTAATGATATTATTTTTTTATGATATTTTGCGGATAATAGTGAATAAGCTCTATTGTATGTATTATTTTCTTTTGTACACAAAAGTATATTTCGTTCTGTTGTGTTTGTTCATAAATCATTGATTATATTGTCAAACACAAAATAATTTAAGGTTTGCGTTAATTACACGAGATGAGTGTTAAAATATGAGTACATTATATTATATACTATAATGTATAGTTAAAAAATATTAATATTTTTTCGAGTAATGATTTCATCTAAGTATAAGTACGGATATAGAAAAAACTGAAGAAGAACTGAAGAAAAAAACTGAAAAAAGAAAACTGAACTGCAAAAGAAGTTCTAATTGAAGGCTAAGGTTCATAATAGTTTATAAAAGTTTTATACAATTTTGATGATATTATTCAAAATATACTTAATTGAACAATATATGTGTATAAATTTTTGCGAAGGACTTTATGTTACGTCGCATTATTTTTGTTTGAGTAGGTATGCGAAAAGTGCCGCTTTTTTCAGAAGTATTATTTTTTGTAAGGTCACTAATTTTCAAAATAAACTGTTTCCTTTCTTGATGCAATGAGCAAGCTTATCTTATACAAAAGTACGATCGACCCAAGGAATGTACAAAATATCGGTAATTAACAATTTGCAAAGATGATTATTCTTAACTTGTTTGAACATATTTTTCTCTCTTAATAAACGATACATTATACTGAATATTGTATAAATTGAGGTTGACTTTGAAAATAATACCATTATCTTTGATCTCAAATCTAAACTTGATGTTATTTCTATTTAAATATTTATCTTCATTGCAGGAGGAGACTTTTAATCACTCAACGATTGTTTTTTTTCCTTTTTGTGGCAGGAACAATAAATAATAGAAATAAACGAATCATAGATAATAAAGAACACCATACGATGGAAGTGTATTGACTGTGAATGTTACTCAAGAATTAATGCTACTTTCGTTTTATATATTGATATACGATGTATCGAATAATTGATTTACACGTTACTATTTTTAATCATTTTCCGAACCATATTGATCATATGAAGTCTTACTAAAATTGCTTTATATTCATATAACACGAGTAGGTAAGCATATTTGTGGTTATAAAAAAGACAAATCGTTTCATTTGTCAAAACGATTCCTAGTACTATGAATTATATATTATAATACATTTGAATATTGAATAATCACATTGTGCGTATAATGATTGTGTAAAATAATTTAATTCCTACGTAATCATGTATATCCTGTGTAATCTTATCACACAAAAATCTATGGTAAATTATTTAAAAATATTTAAGAAACAGTGTGCAACTATTTTATATTTCAACGTTTAAAAATTGACAAAAGAAAACTAACTTAGAAAATCTGTAAAACTGAAATATGAGGGTCAAAAATTTATATTATTTATTTAACTTACGCAAAAATTTATATTATTTTATTAAAAAATAAAAAATTGGCCACTGGCAAGTAGAAATGTAAAATCGTAAAAATATACTCTAAAATCCGAATGAAAATATTTTGTGTTTCAATTATATTTGAGTTAAGAAACGAAATAAACGTAATGTTCATTAGTGATGTAGGGGCCGTGGTAGTCTTTCGTTTTAAATTATGGTTCGACCAGACTTTAGCCTTTAAAACCTCTGAATCCCTAGTTACGCCTGTATATATATTATATTATGTGCATATTATGTATATAATGCAATTTAGTCGAAGAGGGATAACGACGAAATCTGAAAAAAAATAATAATAATAATAAGATAGAAAATGTTTCAAACGTTATTCCAGAAGAAGAAGGAGAAAAAAAGAAACCGTTGCAACGAAACGCGTAAAGTAAAATATTGTCATGACGCGCTAACGCGACGCTATATCATCGAGTACACGTGGGAAAACTACGATTTAAATCGATCACTTTCCTTCGAAACGACCGAGGAAAAAATAACGAGGCGAATAATCCGTCTCAGGGAATACGTTTACATGCTGAACACGACCAACTGACGTCTCGTCGAGTAAGTTTCGTCGAGACATCAATATTTTTGTTCACATTAGTTTTTCTCTCTCTCAGGTGTAACCTATACGATGATCTCGTACATTTTGTCGCGAGCTATTAAAGAGTAATTAGCAGTTGGATTTCCATTCACGTGTTCTCTCAACCAAATCGGACATAGTCAAATCGATGCTTCTCAAACTCCATACTATGTAATTTAAATACGTATTGCGTTCCAACGATGACATTTTTTAGACATTTTATGCATTTTTAATTTTTCTTAAGGTTGTTTTTTCGAATATTTTAAAAGCAAATAGAAATAATTTTCATACGAATTAATTTCTCATTTTATTTTATCGAAAATAAAAATTCAAATTTCAGGGCCATTTAAATATTGCTTTTATCAAAATTCTCGCATTTTAATGAAGATGCATATTTGTTTGCAAAAAAAAAAAAAATGATTGGAAAAGAATTATTTTCGTGGTATCTGCGGCAATTTACTATTTACTACTACAAGCTTAGTGGAGGTTTATCTTCTTTATTAACATGAGAAAAATATTACATCGAATCCTGTTAAAACCTAATTGTATTTTGTAAACGGATCTCGAACCGTAATATACATAGTAAATTAATAAAAATACAACATTTTCTGTTTGGTACTGAAATTGTTTAAAAGTTTAAATGTCTTACAATTAAGCTTGTCCATAGGTTTAAATAATTTGTGTTGCTATTTTTATTTAATATGTCTAATTAAAGAATATATAAAATATAAATATAAAAATAAAAACATAAATAAACACAATAAATACAATAAATACATAGTGTATGTATAAAAAAATTCATAAGCGTCCTCAATGGTCATAGGTAATCTTTATCATAATTTTATATACTACTTAATTTATTCAAAAGATTATACTAATCCTTATTGGTTTCTGTTGGTGCATTATAGTGTAAGTATTTGAATTAAAACTTTGGGTTTTCATGGAAGGACATCCAAGTATGCGAAAAATGTTCAAACTGTGTAAGGTTATAAATCGATAATTCAGAAATTACAAACTATGTGTGCGTTTCTCGAACTGAATAGTGACATCTTATGCATCGCGATAATGACGTCAAAAAATATACGGTGGTATATTGGTTTTAAAGATTACCACATTGAGCAATGTTTTACGGTTAAACAAAGTGCATGTAATTAAAATTACATTCTAAGACCATTTTCAAATAATTATGAATATGAACTTATTTTTTGATTTCGGTGTTATTACTAATAATTTCTGGGAATTTGTTTTCTCACCTGTTAACTATTGGAAGCAACAAAACATTAACCGTGTTAGAGACCAAGATAAATAAAACAATATGATAAGAAAAATTAGTTGTTCAGCTACTACTCTGTGTTTCATCACCGATGAAGTACGGAAAAACAGTTTAACAGTCTTATTAAATTACTGTATATTTTGTTCTACTCTTAACCTTACCAGATATAGTTGTTTGTGATGTTAAGTTTGCAAAGGCCATTAATCAATTATTAATCATTAATCATTAATCATTAGCATAATTACTTGCAGCTACCTCAGTCATTATGTAATGAAATATATTTTTAATTTTAAAACTTGTTTTTAACTTAACAAAATATATGGCTAGTGTAGTATAATTTTCGCAGATAAAACATCTTAGAAGTTATAACAACTGTAATGATGGTGATTATAATAAAAGTGTATCATTTACTCGATATTGATTTCGAATACATTGAATTTCACAAAGCATTAATTATTTTAAAATATATGTATTGAATAGGAAAATTGACAGAATAAGCGAAATATGAG